AGCAGCTGGCGCCTCCCCCGACGAAACCACCTGCGATTGTGTTAATTACTCCCCGTAAAGGGGTTGTCCCTGTCTCCTGGCTTATCTCGGCCTGCACTGCGCCGCCGGCATTTTTTTGGGAGCCAGAGTGTTGGTCCGTGCGAGCTCCTGAACCTCGGCCTCTGCCCCGCCCCCGACCGCCATAGCCTCCTCGGTACCCTGCTATCTCTGGATGTACTGGCCAAGGTGGCCTGCCTGGATGAGCTCTTCGATATGGTCTCGGAGCGTGCAACATTCCTCCGCGGTGTGACCGTGGTTCCTGTGATACCGACAGTGCTTGGACTTGTCGACACTGTTTGGAGTGTGGCCTGGTGGTGGAAGGGCGAGTAGGTTGCTGTTGCTGGCTTCTTCCAGGATGTGGACTCTGGGTGCGTTCAGGGGAGTGTAGAAGTCATATCTCCCCCCCCTGTTTGGCCTGGCCGACTTCTTGAACTGGCTGTCATTGTTGACTTTGATCTTATCATTGTGCCCCTGTTCTGGCTTCGCTGGTCCTTTTCCGCGAACCTGGTCACGGAAGGCGGAGTGTTCCTCCATCTGGATGTAGCCTGCAGCGCGGGCACGGAGCTCGTCCATGTCGCGGGGAGACTCACGACACAGGCTGTCGACGAATGGCTCGGGCTTGAGTGCCATGAGCATGGGATGTAGGGCAACCTCGGGATTCAGGTTCCTGATCTTGATCGAGGTGGCAGCGAATCGTTCCATGAACGCCCGAAGTGGTTTGTCGTCGTGTTGCCTGAGACTGGCCAGGGCGGATGAAGTTACATGATGAGGTCGGCTCGTCGCATATTGCACGGTGAACCTCCTGACTAGGGTGTCGAAGCTATCAATGGACTCAACAAGCAGTTGGGTGTACTAGTTGAGCGCGGCCCCCTTAAGTGAGGTCGGGAACACCCTACACAAGATAGCGTCATTGTTAGTGTAGAGGTTTACCTGTGTGGTGTACAGGTTGATGTGCTCGTGTAGGTCTATCGTGTCGTCGTAGCGGTCGAGGTGGAGAGGCTTCCATCCGAGAGGGAGTGGCGTCTCCATAATGCCATCCACAAAAGGATGACGGCGGAAGGTTGGTTGATCCCCCGCGACATGAGTAGGAGCATTGCTAACCTCATGGGCCGATTTGTGTGTCGGTGCATGAGATCGATGCGTGGCAGGCTTTGGAGTCGGTGTCCTATGCGCTATTGGCGGTTGAGAAACCGAGTGCCCCTCCTTCCTCGTTTGGGTGACTCGGTTGAGGGGGTTGATCAGAGGTGCACCGTGGTAGCTGAGCGCGAATACGCTCATTCTCGGCGCGCAGCGCCGCTAGGTCTGCTTCATTGGCGGTTCGCATCGCGGCTAGGTCAGTTTCGTGCTTGGCACGCATGTTTTGCAGATCGGCGGTGTGTTGCTGCCGCATCTGCTCGACCTGCTCGATCAGCCTTCTCAATGCTGCTTCGTTGTCCATGGTAGTTGCGTGATCTAGGTCGTCTGTTGCGCGTCTGCTATGGCTTCTGGTAGAAACCATAAGAGTGGCCGATAAGAGCTGTCTTGATCGGCCCCACGGTGGGCGCCAAATGTTCTTACCGGAAATCTGCTGTAGAGATGATCCTCCGAGTAAGATTGGTGAGCCTCCTTCGTTGGTACGCTTGATGCTCCAAGATGGGGGTGGTACCTGCAAAAGAGACTCCGATGCTAAAGTTAGGGTTTGTATGAGTATGAATCTCGTGTATATAATGCACGTACCTTGATGTATATTAGGGTTGCGTTGGGCCTTGGGTCTGAGATTAGTTGTGATTTGATTAGGTAGAGAATCTCCCTTAGACCGAGATTCCCAGAGATCGGTTAGGATCTATTAAGTGCCAAGCTGACGCCACGTAGCGCGTGTCCGAGGTCGGCTCGTGCTGTGCTACCGAGCTCGGAGCTCGGCTTCGGAGTACGGATAGTACAAGAACCATATATAATTTTATTTTTAAATTTATTTTAATTGAATATATTATGAATGATATATTTTATTATTTAATATTATTCTTACATTTCAATCTACTAATTTACTTTTAACATTATACTTTTTTTAAAAAAAATAGTTATAATTGACTTAAACATTTGAAATTTATTTTAATATATTACTTTAATCTTTAAAGATAATTTTAGGGACTGAAATTAATAATAAAAAATAGTTCAATAAATAAAACTAATATAAAAAGTTAAGAATTAAAATATATTTAATTTGATTTTTAAATTGAAAACTTTTAGTCATGTCGATTGACTATTGGTTGACTATTTATATATAGTCAATAATTGAGACTAATATAACATGACTTATTAGATTACATATACTTTTAACAATAAGAGTAAGTTCTTTCTGATGAAAAAATTGAAATAATGAAATATCATAATCATATTGTAAAACTTTAACTTTAAGATAAAAATATATTACATTAATAAAAATTATTGAAATAATATAATTTCTTACATTAATAAATATAATTGACACACTTTTTTATGGGTGAATTTCACTTTTAATTTATAAGAGAGAAATCTTGTTTGATTAAATAATTATTTTAGTTAATTACAATTTTCTACACAACTAATTCAATTTTAGTTCTTGTTAAATATTTTGAACAATTTCAAAAATAAAATATGTAATCTCACCTTTTATCAAATAAATTAATGATTTTTTGACTAAAAATTAAGGATCTTTTAAAATAAATGCATTAACATGTTATAAAAAAAAAGTATTGAACATTTTCAATTTAACAACTTTATAACGTGGCATTTGTGACACTCTCTACCCCAACATTAATACACAATAAATGTAAACATTAATATTTTTTTTCTTTTTGAGTAAATAGATTCTTTCATAGTTGATAACATCTTTCATGGATAAAACAAATGTCTCAAATATCATAAGATAGAAGGTTCACATTTGTAACTCATAAACCATAAACAGTTAACATGTAAGTATCAAAACTCAAGAAATCATAAAAAAAATAATAAAGGAAATATAGATTAATTCCAGTAAAGGTGGCAGTGCCTCCTAGTTAGGAATTAATTTATAAATTCCATATCATGTAATAAAAATATAACAATGATACACACTTTGGTCTTTCATCAAGAACATTCAAAATTACAATTCTCAATATACACTTTTCTTAGATTCAATCGCTGCAACTATAGACTTCATCTACATGATACCTTCGCTAGAAATTACACAAGAAAAGAAACCAAGGTTTTCAAAACAATAACATCCTAAACTAAGCCTAGTTATGCCCCGATGTCACACATCTTATCAAAGCATGCCTAACTGAAACTTTAAGCCTCATCACCAACATTCTCATGATGATGATCACCTGCAACATAATTTAAACATGTACAAGAATAACAAGGGAGTGAGAAATATCTCACTCGGTTCCAGGTGCAGAAATAAAGGTTAGATAGCACACACACTTACAATAAACATAAGTCACATGTAAGCAATATACATACACAATCAAGATCACATGCACACTCATTTATCATGCAATGATATCATGGACTCGACTCATAAATGCATGCATGTGGTGCCATACAGAGGTTTCACATTTCTCATCATTGGTATGCTGCACAATAACATATCTGGTCACGTTCATTCATGAATACATCACTGGTGCGGCCTAAGAAGCACACCTGGAATAAGTCATTTCATCACATAGCTTGTTACATCACTGGTGACCCTAAGGTACACCTTGTTAACTCATGAATACATCACTGGTATGCGGCCTAAGCGGCACACCTGGAATAAGTCATTTCATCACATAGCTTGTTACATGACTGGTGACCCTAAGGTACACTTTGTTAACTTGTTACATCACTAGTGACCCTAAGGTACACCTTGTTAACTTGTTATATCACTGGTGACCCTAAGGTACACCTTGTTAGCTTGTTACATCACTGGTGACCCTAAGGTACACCTAAAATATCTCAGTACATCACTGGTATGCGGCTTAAGCGGCACACCTGGAGTTATATATGTATATGATGCATGTCATACATTCACTATTTCATTAACTCAACATTTCACTTATCATGGAATTTTATTTATTACCTCATAAGGTTCGCAAAGGAATTCACAGAGCACTTTAGTTCATATTAAAATTTATCTATTTTCAAAATTAATCACATATTCATTCATCATCTCCAACAAGGAACACAGTAGGGTAATCAGAAAGGAAAACAGAACACAGTCATACTTTTCATGTTGCTAGAAACATACATCAGGCAAGGGATTGGGGGCCAATCCGACCACCCAACAATTATTCCCACATCCCCGAGCGAGGTTTCTTACTTCCCCCTTACCTCGATATGCAGGAGCTGAAACTAGAGTAGAACCTTGCTAATCTCCTCCTCTAGATTCCCCTTGGTTTTTAAAAGGTTTAGAAGAAGAAAAAGTCAGAAGTGAATAGTATGATTTGAACTAAAGCGTAAGCCTCCTATTTATAGGCATTCAGGGGTGGCCAGAACGGCCTGTTCTCAAACCAAAATGGCCCGTTCTGGACCCATCCGTTATATGCAAAAATTTACAACTGGAACGGCCCGTTCTCAAAATCAGAACGGGCCGTTATGGGGTTCATTTTAACACACATTGACCATAATTAGAATGACCCGTTTCTAACTTGGATTTTAGGCCATTTTATTTGTCTGGAACGGCCCGCTCCACTTTTTGAAACGCTTGTTCTGCTTATGGGAACGGCTCGTTCCTCTTTTTGGAACGACCCGTTCTGAGCCTAAAAAATAAAACAAAACAAAATAAAATTTCATATAAAAATTAATTTTTATAAATATTTAAATTATTATTAAAAAAATCTCTAAAATGTTCTATAAAATCCCCTTAATTAATTAAAATAACTATAAGAAAATAAGTTCCATATATATAAAAATAATAATAAACTATTATATTAGTAGAAAATTCGGGATGTTACAATTCTCCCCTCTTTTTAGAAATTTCGTCCTTAAAATTTACCTGCAAACAGAAATGGATAAGCTTCTCGCATCTTGCTTTCTAATTCCCATGTAGCACTTTCTTCAATATTTCCTCCCCAAACGACCTTAACCAAAGAGATTTCCTTTCCTCTCAGTTGTTTCACTCTCGTATCATCAATCCTCAAAGGAACCGTTTCATAGGTGAGATTATCCTTCAACTGAATGTTGTCAGACTCAATGATATGGGAAGGATCATGGACATACTTTCTAAGTTGAGAAACATGGAAGACATTATGGAGATTTGAAAGAGATGGAGGCAAGGCAATTTGATAGGCCACTTCACTGATCCTTTTAAGAATTTGATAAGGACCGATGAAACGTGGAGTAAGCTTACGGGATTTTAGTGCTCTGCCTACTCCTGTCCAAGGAGTGACTTTGAGGAATATAAGATCACCTTCTTTAAACTCAAGGTCTTTTCTCCTCTTGTCATTATAACTATTTTGCCTACTCTAGGTTGTTCTAATCCTCTCTTGGATCATCTTACTCTGTTCAGTAGTTTGTTGAACTATCTCAGGTCCTAACATGACATTCTCTCTAGGCTCTACCCAACATAAAGGTGTTCTATATCTCCTACCATACAAAGCCTCATAGGGTTCCATCCCAATACTGGAATGGTAGCTATTAGTGTAGGTAAACTCTATCAAAGGTAGGAAACTATCCCAACTACCCCATGTTCTAAGATGAAAGCCCTCAACAGGTCTTCCAAAAACTGTATGGTTCTCTCAGTTTGGCCATCTGTTTGGGGATGGTAGGCTGAACTCAACCTAAGCTTAGTGCAAAAAGCCTTATGCAAGCTTTCCCAAAATCTAGAGGTGAACCTAGGATCTCTATCACACACTATACTAGTAGGAACTCCATGCAAACTCACTATCTCACCTATGTACAACTTGGTTAACCTCTCCAAAGGGTACCTAATATTGATGGAAATAAAATGGGAAAACTTAGTCAATCTATCCACAATGACCCATATAGCATCCAAGTTCTTCACAGTCTTAGGTAACCCAACTACAAAATCCATAGAGATGTTATCTCATTTCCACACATGCACATCTAAAGGTTGCATCAGACCTGAAGGTTTTTGGTGTTCTACCTTAGCTTTCTGACATACAAAGCAGGCATACACAAATTCCTCCACTTCCCCCTTCATCTTAGACCACCAAAACATCTTTTTGAGGTCTTCGTACATCTTGGTGGCTCCTGGATGGATACTAAGGCTACTCCTATGACCTTCTTCTAGGATTGCTCTCTTAAGCTCTGACACACTAGAAATGCACAACCTATCCTTAAATCTCAACACTCCATCCACTCCAATTCTAAACTCACTCTCCACATCTTGATTCAACTTCTCTACTTGACTCAACAAGAAAGGATCTATCTTCTGTCCTTCTCTAATCTCATCTATCAAGCTATTAGTCACTCTCAAAGCTCCCAACTTAATACTCTTAGAGGTATCCTAAACTCATATCCCTAAACTCCTCAATCATATGCAATTCCCTAATCATCAAAGAAGACACTCTCAAAGATTTTATACTCAAAGCGTCAGCTACAACATTAGCCTTGACGGGGTGATAATTTAATTGAAAGTCATAAACCTTAAGGGACTCTAACCATCTCCTTTTCCTCATATTCAATTCCTTTTGGTCAAACAAGTACTTAAGGCTTTTATGGTCACTAAAAACCTCAAATCTAGGCCTAAACAAGTAATGTCTCCACAACTTAAGTACAAATACTATTGCAGCTAACTCAAGGTCATGGGTAGGATAGTTTTTCTCATGAATTTTAAGTTGTCTAGAAGCATAGGCTACTACCTTACCCTCCTGCATAAGCACTCCTCCTAAACCCAATTTAGAAGCATCACAAAATACCTCAAAAGTCTTACTAGGTTCACGTAACACTAACACAGGGGCACTAGTTAATCTTCTCTTAAGTTCTTGAAAACTTTCCTCACACCTAGAATCCCACACAAAAGGTTGATCCTTCTTCGTCAGCTTAGTCAAAGGAAGAGCTAGCCTAGAGAAATTCTCTATGAATCTTCTGTAATAACCAGCTAGTCCTAAGAAACTCCTAATCTCAAATACTGATTTAGGTGTACTCCAACCAAAATATCCCATCCTTAAATATCACATGTCCTAGAAAGTTCACACTATCCAACCAAAATTCACATTTTGACAATTTAGCATACAACTAATTCTCCTTAAAGGTTTGAAGAACGATCCTAAGGTGCTCAACATGCTCCTCCCTAGTCTTGGAATACACTAGGATATCATCTATGAAGACCACTACTAATCTATCCAAGTAAGGGCGAAAAATCGTATTCATGTAGTCCATAAAAACACCAGGTGCATTAATCACACCAAAAGGCATAACTAAATACTCATAGTGCCCATAATGGGTCCTAAAGGCAGTCTTAGGCAAAGGATACTTATTCTTAATGGTCACTTTATTCAGTTTCCTATAGTCTACGCATAACCTCATGCTCTCATCTTTCTTCTTAACCAATAAAACAGGCACTCCCCAAGGTGAGACACTAGGCCTAGTGAATTGTTTCCCTTGCAGTTTCTCTATTTGTTTCTTAAGCTCAACTAACTCTTTAGGAGACATCCTATAGGGTGCTATAGATATAGGTGAGGTACCTGGCACTAAGTCTATGCTAAACTCAATTTCTCTCTCAAGTGGTAAACTAGACACATCCTTAGGGAATACTTCTGGGAATTCTCTCACTAAGGGAATCTCATTTAGCTTATTATCGGTCTCAAGTGTTAAGGAAGCTAAGATCATGTACACTCTTTAAGTTTTAATGTCGGCAGCACTAAGAAATTTCGTACTCTTACATTCACCAAAGGAAATAGATTTATCAAAGCAGTTTAAAATGACATGGTGGGAAGATAACCAATCCATACCAAGAATTACATCTAATTGACTAAGAGGCAAACAAATTAAGTTAACTAGAATTTGCTTATTGGAAACTGTCAAAGGAAATTTCAAACACACTAGGGATGTAGTCACAAGACCATTAGTAGGGGTTTCAACAACTAAATCAAAATCTAACAAAGACACAAGCAAATTCAATTTCTGGACACAAGAGACAGAAATAAAGGAATGAATTGTACCAGAATCAAACAGTACAACAAAAAGAGTCTCAACTATGAAACAAATACCTTGCATCAGATTTTCCGACCGAGCAGCTTTAGTACCACTAAGAGCAAATACTCTCCCTACAGTCTTTGGACGCTTAATTTACAAACCCAATCCAATAACACATGTTCTTGGTGGTTCAGGACATTAGGTGCTGATGTGACCTTTACCATTGCAGTTGGAGTAGGTAATCTCCTTGTCACGACACTCAGACTGATTATGACCAACATGTCCACACTTCCCGCATCTTCTCAAAGGAGTGGACACAGACCCTCCAACACTTCTAGTAGTACTAATAGTGGATCCTCTAGTAAATGACTTGCTTCCACTAGCCGCAACTTTACTCCCTTGAAATCTAGTAGGAGTGGAGTAAGGCTTACTCTTACCCGAAGTACTATAACTCACAGCACGGATAGGACCTCTGACTCCTTTATAGAAAGCAGCAAGAGCACGGTTGTCACGATCATAAATGCTGCACTTATTGACCAGAGTGGGGAAGTGATATATCTCCTGATAGTTAATTGCCGTCTTCACCTCAAGACGCAGACCATTTACAAATTTTATGCATTTAGCTCTTTCACCACCCTCACCATGGTAGTGTGTACAATAACGTACAAAAGCATCAAATTTGGTAGCATACTCTACTACTGTGTCGTTTCCTTAATTCAACTCAAGGAATTCCACTTCTTTCCGACTTCTCACATCATCTAGAAAATACTTCTCAAGAAAGGCTTTCTTGAAGTTGTCCCAATTCAAGTGCACCCCTCCATCAATCATCCTTCGAAGTGCTCCTTCCCACCGATAACATCTAACAGCCTGAGCTCCATTCCTAGCTCTCTGAGTAGACTTCCTTGTGGTAGAACCCCCTTATTGTTGGGTCCTGTCATAAGGCTTCCTCTGAGAACCACCACTACTCTTGGATCACTTCGGGAAGGGCCTTTCAAGGTGCGATTGGACCATGTGAGCGCCTCAGCTGACATGGACTCATTGTGGAGCACGGGGGTGATTGCCGAGAAGTTCTTCCCTCAAGGCTCGCTGAGCTCCGAAGACCAGGAGCTGATAGACGAGGTCGGTCCCGTGGATAGTTTCGACGCTGCTCAGGTCCTTCTGCAGAGGGCTACGGCCATTATGGGCCACTGGAAGCCTCGGTGGTCCAAGAAGCAGGAGGATTTAGCCAGACTGAGGGGCCGAGTTCAACCCCTAAGGGACGAAAACAAGGTTCTAAAGGGGGAGAATAAGGTCCTGAAGGAGGAGAACAAGGGCCTAGGTGTTGAATTACGAGCCACGAGGGGGAATCTTGCGAGGGTGCAGAAGTCCCTGGTGATTGCTCTGCGCTTGAACGAGAACTATGCTTCTCAGGTGGGCGAGCTGCAGGGGTTGGCCTCTTCATCCTGAAGTCGGGTGCGCTTCCTCGAAGATGAGGTGACGTCCTCCCGTGGTCGGGTTCGCTCTTTGGAGGATGAAGTGACCTCTCTGAAGAGCGAGCTAGCGACGGCGACCAAGAAACGCCTCTGCGACGAGGTCGTGATTGGCGGCAAAGAGGAGGAGGTCGCCTCCTTGAAAGCGGAGATGGCCAGGCAGGAGGCGGAGAGGGTGGCGCTGGAGAAGAGGCTGGGGGAACCGAATGAGCTATCGTGGTTGAGCATAAGCGTGGTTTCCTCAAGGCGCCAGGCAAGGCTTCTCGCCCCGGGGTTCGACTTCTCTGGCATGCATGTGGAGAAGGTGGTCCGCTTTGGGCAGTTGGTGAAGGAGGACGACCTCGAGGGTAGCTCCAATGAAAACTCCTCTGTGTAGGCCAGTTTAATGTTTTTGTATTCTATTTTTCTGTTCCTTGAATTCATGTATTGAACTTGGTAAACCTAGATTTGTATATACATATTTTTCTTTGTCTATTTGCGCTTAATTTTTACTGTTTTGCGTATTTTTGAGACTCGTTTGGTGTTTGTGCTGTGGGACACGTGTTTGACGTCTTGATCTCGGGTTTTGAGTATGTCTCGTACGGGTTCGAGCTCGACTTTGGATTTTTATTATTTAACACTTGTAAAGGTTCATACGCGACCTCGAGTTGATCATGTCGAGGTTCGAACTCGACCTCGGATTCTCCTTATTTAACTCTTGTAAAGGTTTGTACTCGACCTCGAGTTGATCATGTCGAGGTTCGAACTCGACCTCGGATTTTCCTTATTTAACTCTTGTAAGGGTTCGTACTCGACCTCGAGTTGATCATGTCGAGGTTCGAAGTCGACCTCGGATTTTCCTTATTTAACTCTTGTAAGGGTTCGTACTTGACCTCGAGTTGATCATGTCGAGGTTCGAACTCGACCTCGGATTCTCCTTATTTAACTCTTGTAAAGGTTCGTACTCGACCTCGAGTTGATCATGTCGAGGTTTGAACTCGACCTCGGATTTTCCTTATTTAACTCTTGTAGAGGTTCGTATTCGGCTTCAAATTGGAGTAAAATGA